CGGCCCGCAGCGCGGTGGCCCGCCTGGGCCTGGCTACGCCAGAGGTCGAGTCCAAGGAGTGCACCAGCGAGGAGGTCCTCCGGCGTGTGCAGGACTCTGCAGTGCTGCAACATGCTGCGACCGGCTGCAACTTTACCCCACGCTGCAGGACATGGCGACGGACGTGTCCAACGGGGCCGCGCTTCCGAAGCACGTGGTGCAGACGGCCGCCACTCAGGTCGGCAGTGTCATGCAGGCGCGCCCTGGCCTGTGCAATCCCTGGTCCCTGGTCTTGTCTAGGTGCTGGCCGCCCTTGCTGCGACCGCGCTGCCCATGGCAGCGAAGGTGGGGATCACGCTGTCCCCCCCTTCAGGTGTCAGAAGCTGCTGTACACATGCAAGCGCCGCAGGCCGACGATGTGCCGCCGTTGCAGTCCTTCGGGGCTCCCCAGATGCAGCAGCAGCAGCAGCCGGGCGGCACCGTGCGGGTCAGCGGAGCCTTGGCTGCTATAACAGTTCATAACAGTTCATAGACTGCCAGATCAAGATGGAAAAACATGGATTACTGGCTGGAAGTATGTTTCGCAGTCAGCCTGCAAACAGAGTCCAGCCATGTAGGCCGTGTCACCTACTCTCGATTGCTTGAGTTCGTTGACGAGGCGTGGCTGAGCCTGTAGTCAGCCTCAAATAGCCTGAAGATGCGTTTCTTTGTTGACACCATGCAGGGCTCGGTGAAGCGGGTCGACTTCTACGACCTGGGCCGCACTGCAGTCGCGCTGGTCAATATTGCTGGTCGTGAACAGCAGCTGGTGTGTGATTTGCCAGGATAGTCTGGCAGTAGTGGACGGTAGGCATTTCCTGTTGCAGCTTGCTACCATGATGTAGGAGCTACTACGGGACTTATCGACAAGCTTGTGTCGAAGAACATTGCCATCGAGGCCGCACCTTCAGATTTCATAGCTGTAACCGTTCGTGGCGCCTTTACCTGGGTTATTGGTTCTCTTCCAAGATACGGTCTTTGTGGAAAGGTGCACCAGCCTGACAAGCCAAATCCGCTGCTGAATGTCCTCGGTGACGTTGCCTTCCCGTTGCTCCTGATTGCTGGGCTGCTTTTTCTGCGAAGCCGAGCTCCTGGAGGTGGTGGCATTCCAGGCACTGCTGGCCTCCACTTTCCAGCTGAAGACGAAACTCGTGAGTCATATGAGTCATGAGTTTTGTGCCGCAGGCTTTGGCAACCAGGGTCGCGCGAAGATCATGGTCACACCAGAGACAGGTGTGAAATTCAAAGATGTGGCCGGCATTGATGAGGCTCACGACGCTGCGAGGAGCACTCAACAACTTCTGCTCGCATTGAATTCAGACCTGCAGGCCAAAGAGGAGTTGATGGAGATCGTGGACTTCCTGAAGGCCTCCACGGAACAGTGATTTGGTCGCTTTGCTGTCTGTCGGGATACGAGGCACCCGAGCGCTTCGTGAAGGTTGGTGCTAAGATCCCGCGAGGAGTGCTCCTGACAGGGCCGCCGGGAACCGGAAAAACTCTCATGGCCAAAGCGCCACTTGGAACGCAACGGATGATGCATCTGTTTAGTCAACTTCCCCACAGTGTCCCTTTCACTTCCAAGGTTGGCAGGGGAGTCTGGCGTGCCATTCATCCAGCCGCCGACTCAAGCAAGATTGCATTTGGTCATCTAGGCCGGCATTAAAAGATGGCGGAACCAACAACCGTCTACAGGATAACGCAGGAGATTGAAGCATTCACTTTTGATTCTCGATGAGCAAGATTTGCCATCTGATGGCAAAACCACTGATGGCTGATGACGGTTTCGTTTGCCTGCCACGAGCTTGAGCTTGCATTTCAGGGTGCAATCTAGTGACGGTCAGGTCCTCTGCGTCAGAGTTTATTGAGCTCTTCGTGGGTGTTGGAGCATCACGTGTTCGCGATATATTCAAGCAGGCCAAGGAGAAGGCTAGATGCCTCGGGCTGGTGCAGGGCACAGGGTTGTTACTTGCTATGAGGTTTGCTTTTCATGATTCGACAGCACCAACTTGGTTATTTTGTCCTGCGGCTTGCCGGCAGTTTGCAGGCACCATGCATCGTTTTCATTGACGAGATTGATGCTATTGGACGACAGCGGGGTCTGCTGCCTACTAACCAGATCTGGAGCTGCCCCAGGCCCTTGCTACCCTAGTTCTGCTTCGTGCTACTGAAGGTGCGGGCATGGGCGGTGGCAACGACGAGCGTGAGCAGACGTTGAACCAGATCCTCACAGACCCCGCTCTGCAACGAGAACGAAACAAAACAAGTAGACTGAGCAGACGATAACAGCTGCACTGCTGTGCCATGACGCATTTTCCGTGAGCCACAAAGGAGATGGATGGCTTCGAAGGTTTGGTGAACCCATTCTTTAATGCATTCTGTTGCATGAGCTGCAGAGCTTGTTGTCACAATGCAGACAGGCAACAGTGGTGTCATTGTTGTGGCAGCCACCAACAGATCTGACATTCTCGACAACGCCCTGCTGCGCCCAGGCAGGGCACCTCAGATTCAGTACAGCAGCACCGGCAGCAGCTGATGCTACCCCAGCAGCTGGTTCTACTGTACTGTTGAAAGGGACTTGTTCAACGTCTCTTGTGTCACATTGGGTTGATAGGCCGATTTGATCGACGGGTACAAGTCGGTCTTCCGGATGTCAAAGGTCGCGAGCAAATTCTCAATGTGCACATCCGTCCCTGGACTGCATTGATGATTCCACTGATCAGACGCCATGTTGGTCTAGACATAAGCGTGGGGAAGCGCTGCGCCGCAGGCAACAAGAAGCTTGCGGAGGAGATCACACTTACGGACATCGCCAAACGAACCGCAGGTGTCCATAATTTGATGTGTTTCATTCAACGCACCGCATCTTGCAGAGCTTGTGCAAAACTTGCAAAGGTTTCAGCGGAGCTGACCTGGAGAATTTGATGAACGAGCTGCTTGGATGACCGAATCAGTACATTGGATTGTTTTTGTGCCTTGAAGTACCTCCTCTTACACGCCATGGAGAGTAACGTTTGCAACTCAGCACAGGAACATCTGAGACATGCAGGTCAGCAATTTTGGCAGCCCGCCGCAACAAGAAGGCAATTTCGATGGACGAGATCAATGATGCGACGGATCGTGTCATTGCAGGCTGTTGCAGTTTCTCCGCTGCTGTTCCATCCATGCCCAATGATAATTCACAAGTACTTGTCCAGTCTCCAGCATGGTCCAGCATGGTGCTTGAAAATGGAACCTCACAGCAGCGACTGGAGCGCATTGGCAGAGCAGAGCATCACCTATTCACCACAGGGTTAACGGACCTAGATGTTTCTTGGAAAGATCACTTCGACAAATGAGAGTTTCTCGCACATGACTTGAGGTGTAGGAGTTTCAGGTGATCAACATGTTAAGGAGATACACCATGTTGCACGGCAGGTCTGGAGGGCCGTGCCTTGCAAGACAACTCAGCAAAGAAGCTAATTGCATACCATGAAGCAGGCCAGCTCTCATTTCTTCGTCTAAAGTAAATCCCCGCCTCTCAGACGGAGGCCACGCAATCGTTGGAACCTTGCTTCCGTACCACGATCCAGTCAACAAGGCTTGCGGGACCGACGTCGCTTGTTTCCACTGCCTGATTTCTGCTAGAAGCCAGACAAATTATTCGTAGCTGTGCTCTTGGCAGTGCATCTGATGCGAGGGTGGGTGGTGCAGTCACAGGTCACGCTCATTCCTCGTGGCCAAGCCAAGGGACTCACGTGGTTCACGCCCAACGAGGTCACGGATGACAAGCATTGGCACAAACGAACTGCGAATCAACTCAGCAGCCCTTGCAGGATCAGAGCCTCATTTCCGCTGCGATGCTAAAGGCACCTGGGCTTCGCTTGCAGAGAGTGGCTTTGAGTTTCAAGACAAGGTTTAAATCATGGCGCTACATGCAGCATCTCCCGTGTGGCCTTATAAGCATACGGAATAGGAGATGCTGATGGCAGCCAGCGAAACCCAACGTTACCTTAATCGCAGGCGCGCATTGCTGGTGCCCTCGGCGGCCGCGCAGCTGAGCAGCTTGTTTTCGGAACGTCACAGGTAACCACAGGCAGGTGTTTTCGGCCTTCTGCAATTTTTCAAAAGCTGTGGCCTGTGTAGGAGCCGGCGGTGACCTACAGCAGGTGCAACAGATGCTGTTGCTTACGGGTGGAATCGATATGCCAGCTTGTCAGGTGGAGCGTATGGCCCGGAGCATGGTCACGCAGTTCGGCATGTCCGAGGTTGGCCAAGAACTCAGGATGCTTGCAGCATACCCTCACATTTTCAAGTGCGATCTGTCACTCAGGTTCCTTAGCCATTGATGATGGCGGATTCATGGGCCCAAGCTACTCAGAGGACTTGAGCCGCAAGATTGATGATGCTATCAAGGCACGCTGCATGCTGTTGATGAGGTCAAGATGTCTTTGGCCAATGCCAGACACATGCTTTGATTGCAGCTGAACCTGAACCCCAGCCAGCCAATAGCGCCCACGTAAGCAGCAAAGCGTTTTTCCTTCTGATTCATCAGCAGCAATGCAATCACAGGCGATTTCAGATGAGTGTTATTTGAATGCGTGTGGAGCTTGGCTATGCTGCCATGGTCACAAACGGTCAGTACGGCGGGCCTTGAATGCTCAGGCTGAACATTCTCATGACAAATCGTGCCTGCTTGGATCGTGTGGCTGATGAGCTCACTGAGCTTGAGACAATCACAGGAACGAATTCGAAAGCAGAGCAGCAGAGCTAGATTAAGTGGCCGGAGCCGTTGGTGTGTTGTCTTTTGTTGAGGCATGTTGAGGCTGAATGGACTGGGACATGCAGCTAGTTAACTACTAAGATTAGACGGTCCGTCGTTGCCCTCTTATGAGGAGACCGGCTTCGGGAGATTGTGGCCGAATACGCAGAGATCCCACAAAAGCTGGCAGCAGTCCGGGACTTTGACACAAGAACAAAGTAGGCCCATGGCAAACTGCCAATCCATCTCTTTTGCTCTCCTGATGTGGAAAGCTGTTTGTCACTTGTGATCAAGGTTTGAGATGCCCAACAAGTGAGCCCGCCATGCAGCGTGCATTTGTTGGAAGTGTGTACAGGAAGATTTGCTGAATTTAATCTTTGAATATTGGAAGCTCATCCCTGGTACAACCTGACTATCGTTGCACATGATATGGTTAAATGGAGCTGCATGTCATATGGTAGCTGGTAGCATCGCAAAGTGGACCGTACCTCGGAGAGCGACCTTGGTGGCCCAGCGTTGCTTTTCCATGTTGTACTACTGCAATGGAGGCAGCATTGCGCACCATTGGCGCCACTGTAAGTTTGAGGAACTATGGGCTGATCTTGAGAGCCGCTATTGTGAAAGTCAAGGGCACGCGCAAGTTAGAGGAGTCTTTTGGCATGATCGTCTCTCGAGATCCTTACAAGTCCAGTTTTCAGCTTGAGGGTGCCAGGTCAAGACAGGACCACCTGGATTTTCGCACTTGGCCCTGGCAGATCGCTTGGCTCTTTTAGCCCATGCCAGCACTCAGGTCCTTGATTTCCCTTGACATCTTAGACCCGGGGCAGGAACCTGAGTGCAGGGTGTGGCGTATAGTTTGCACCGTATCAGGTACAGGATACTACTCCTACGTGCGTGCATTTGTCCAGCACTTGGAAAAAGCCAGCGGTCGCTACCTCGAATGCGATGTTCGAGTAATCGCTCCATTTGCTTTGGAGAGGTTGCACTCTGGGTGTTTGTTTCAGTGGAGGTGGCGGCAGAAGATCTGGAATCTGCAAGGCTGCAAGCAGCTTTGTGGCGACACTTGGATCCAAACAAGGTGCCTTTGCCCCTTAATTATGCGCTAGAGATGTGTGTGAAGATCATTGTATGAGAACTGTCGGTTCTGAAGGCGGGGCATACTGATTTGAAGACTGTTACACTCTTCTTCCACGTCCTCATGGGTGCGGCAGGAGGCTTACTGAAAGGGGTTTGTGGTACTGCTGAAGCCAGTAACAAGTGCAGACACTTCAGGCATGTGCCACAAGCTACAATGGCGTATTTTCACGTCCCCACATTAGCTTTTGCAAGGAAGCCTCAACATTCTTTGGGCATGGTGATGTACTCGCAGGGAGAATTGCGAGTGGAAGCAGGAGGAGCAGGGGGAGACAGGGAGGGGCAGGGAGGGGCAGGGAGAATGGGGAAGGAGGGGAAGACAGCGGAGCAACTGCCAGGTTTTGTAGCACTGCCCAACACACTTTGGGTGCTGCTCTGGCAAATGCTTGCAAGCGCCAGGGCTATGTGAACTAGCACCTGAATGGCTGGTGGCTCCCGAAGCATTTTGGTTTACAGGGCGGCTGTCTGAGGCAGAATGGGAAGGCCCGGGAAAGTTGGCCTGGGCAAGGCAATGTCCTCAAAACAGCCAAAATGCTTTGAGCAAAACCGCTGGGTCTCTAGGTGACAAGTGTGAATGGCATAATGGGGCTGCCTGACGACCAAGTTCTATGCTCATTTCCAAAGGAAAGCTTGAGCTCGGCTGATTGTTAAAGGCTCTGCGTTTTTTTTACCCAAGCACCAACGGTCTTCTGGTATGGTGCACGCATGATTGGAGATGAGGTTGATGATGCAGCCCAGAATGCTGCGAGTGCCATGGAGGTGCATTGCTACTTCAACAGCCATGCCTTCGTTTGCTGTCTGTCATCTTCTCTCTGCCAATTGCTTGTGACCTGGCCGTCATGCCAGCTGTGTTGTTGATGCCCAGGAGCCTGGAGCATCACCAGCCAAATCAACACCTAGCGAAGGTGATATGTCTGCAGAATGGTGGAGACTCTGTCGATGCGCTGTAGTTCTGTTTCAGGTGGAAGCATTGCCCTGCAGTCTATCAATGAAGAGGGGTATGCTGAGGCGAGAGTTCGAGAACCAGTTTGCATGCCCACACTTGCTGTAGCAAACTCAGTCAGCTACAACACCATTACAGCTCCAAGTGAGACTACGGCTACAAATTGAAAACTTTGGATCTGAACGGTTAGCTGCGATAAAAGTTTCGAACTTGGACTTTGCCAGGGCGACTCGATCCTAGCAGCACTCAACAAGACTGCTGGCCAGGAAGATGAAGGCCGGTAAAAGAGCAAATGCGATCCTGTTGAACAAGCCCACCTTCATCCTTGTGCAGACCGACGGCTGGTGGAACTGCTGCTGCGATTTGATCCTCTCAGGCTGCGAACGGAGTCGAAACCTTACAGTTCTCGAAGATCCACTCCGTTCCCTCTGCTCTCCCTGTCTGTGGTCGCCGCAGTCATTGAAGACATGTTCTACTCGCCTGATCGCGCATTTTCCTCAAGTGACCAAATGATCTCAAATGCATTTCTTCAGTGCCCAACCCATGCCAACCTAGAGTTCGGAGAGTCCCTCGACCTGCCCGGCCCATGCGAACGGGGCAGTCTGGGAAGGGTGCTGTCCACAAGAGTTTTTAGGGCAGCGTTTTTGAGGCACCAAGATGCTTGGCCCAGGAGACAAATTAGGAGACGAACGGATTGGCGATGCATGCGATGCGATGAATCACTGCCAGCGTGCACGGAGACATCTGAAAGGTGCCTGAGACATCATTAGGAGATCTCACCGAAGCCCTTTTTTGGACATTCTTTCACGTAACTTTCTGCGAGCAGGCGAGTAGACGCGAAAATCGTGAGCGTCCCTAGTCTACACATCTCACCGCTTGTGACGTGTGTCAGGCGAGCTTGTTCCGCTGCTTCAGAGCCTCCTGTTCATGGCATGGTTCACACGTAGCATGCATCTCCTCAGCAGCACGACTTTTGTTTTGGACTGCCTAGGTTCCAGCCACTGTTGCTGCACCGGATGCACTACCAGGGAATGTCCGCTCAAACAGAACAGGCAACAGGGAGCGCAGCTGATTGCAGTCTCCATTCTTGCGCGACACATTGGTCTTGCTTCAGGAAAGGTCACCTCGGAAGGAAAAGGACTCGCCCATTGTGCGACCCCTCAGCTGCCGGAATGATGGCACATATTTTTGTATGGCTGCCTTTTCTGCACAGCAACCATGAAGCCTTGAATAGCACGGCACTTACCTAAGCTGGTGCCGGGCAGGCGCGGTAAGTTTGTTGAAAACTGGACTTGTGCGAACCTTGTGCGCGCGCATCTTTGTCTGGGAGCATTGCTCCCGAGGAAGAATTGTGGCATCATGCGACTCCTCTCTGCCCAAATCCGCAAAAGGTGATCAATCCTGTCATTGACGCGCAGTCTCGCTCTATGGCCGAGAAGCTGTTGGAGAAGCAGAGAAGTCTGTATGCTCAGGCTTTGAACGTGTAGTTCTGAAAGCTCGGCAAAAGTTTGGACTCTTTAATCATGGTAGGGGGTGCCAGGACTCTTGTTCGGACCACGTCAAGTCATGCTGTTGCGTTTACAGGCGTACAGACTGTTTGGTAGTTTTCAGGGTTCACCTGCATGGGGCAAGACGAGTGACTTTGCAATTTCAAGTGTCATGGACTAGTAGACTTGTGTTGATACCATGTTGCCATGGCTGCTAAGGTGAGTCCGGCAAAGCTACCCACGCAGAGCTTCTTCTGTGGCGCCACAAGCAAGTGCAGGCCAGCGGGTGATTAAACATTGGCAAGCAGCCATTGTTGTAGATCATAAGGCTCGAAAAGAGTCTCTGCGAAAGCAAAGAACCAAGGAGGAGGCCAGTTTGACAATTGTCATGCAGGACAATCACATTTCCCTCAGATTTGTAAGAGCAAAAACTTGTGAAGGAAAAGGGATGCACATTCCGACCGAAGTGCAACCCTGCCAAGCCAGGACCTCAGCTTGTGGAGATCTGCAAGAGCTGTCTTCGAGTTTCCCCGTGTTGCCAAGGCCGAAGGAAGGACATGTAGAAATCCTGACGCCGGCAGGGAGCACGCGGGCCGAGGCCGCTGACATGACGGCAAGGTGATTGCTAGTGGAGAACAAACAAGCCTTTGTCGGTCTCCCCTGTCGGAGGACGATGTCGCCGTATATGGTGCCGGGGTCCACAAGTCTAAAATTGAACCTTGCGCAGCAACTTGCCTAGGCCTTCAAACTCTCTTGCAGCAATGCGCTAACTCGGGCCTACTGTCTGTGAACTTAGCATTTCCCATGCGGGACTTACCTCCAATCAGCATCAAGCAGCAACTTACAGCATTTACATGAATCACGCAGAGAGAGAGCATCCAAATGGAAAAGGGGCGGGTCTGGCTGTACCCACCGAAAGGCTATTCAGGCACCGTTTGAAGCATGTGGACGACCAAATTCACTGACAGATGCAGCATTGCGTGCCTGTCAAGAGTCAGATTGCGCTGGTACCCAAATGCAGTGGATCGGAGAGTTGATCGTGGCAGCAGACGGCGAGCTCTGCTGGCCAAGATAATGTCGTTGGTGTTTCTAGAGCATACGGTCCTCCTGAGCATCCGTATGACCACAGGATCCATGCTCAACCTAGCTAAGCGCCTGTTCGTGGTACCAGAGCGCATGCTCACTCCCAGCGTGCATGCTGGCCATGTCACAATGATGTTTGTGTTTCCAATGCGTATGGTCACCAGAGCGCTCATGCCCAAAGCATGGTACCGTTTGTATTCCTGTAGACGGTTGCCAGAGCATCCATACCCATACCATAGTCACGCTCGTGCTTGAAATGCGTATGGTCACTAGAGCATCCATGTCCAAATATACCCGAAGGATAATGTTCCAAGGTCATACATTCACCATAGCATCCATGCCCAAAGCATCGTAAGGTTCGTATTCCCAATGCGTACGGTTCTAGATCATCCATGATGCCCATACCATTCTGACGGAAGTGTTTTCAAGTCATAGGGTCACCAGAGCATCCATGCCCAAAGCATTGTGACGTTTGTATTCCCAATGCATAGGTGACCATAGCATGCATGCCCAAAGCATGTTGACGTTCGCATTCCAAATGCTTGCGGCGACCAGACGTCCACGAAGAAATCCTAATGACGTGTGCGTTCCATTTTTTTCGTCGGCCCCATGCCTGAATTTTCGAAATCTTCATTTGCCGGTTGCCTTTGGCTGCTTCGAAATTTGGAATGCTAGCCGGGCAACGAACTCAAAAACATACTCACTTTTCGACGGGGCATGCAACTCCCAAATCCATTTAATGAAAAAAAACATTGACAGGGCCAGTACAGCCAGCGTCCTCGCGTGATTTGGCACGCGTGAACATCCCCCCAACTACGTGCGAAGTCGCGGAAATCCAGATAACACCTATAGCCCATAGCACAGCCAACGTAATATGTGATCCTTACCCAACAACAGCTGTCACATCTAGTGTTGACAGCTAAGTAACATTCCCAATCTGCAGGTTCTTTATGCTCGAGGTCTTGCTGACAAAGAGCGGCGAAAGGCCAAGGCAGGGGGTTTATGTAGAGCAAGCACAATTGACAGACTCGTCATGGGTGTTTGCATGCTCCAGGTTCTGGAGAGCGAAAAGGCTAGAAGCACAGCCGAGGCTCCCGGCTTGGTCTAGCGTCAGCATTGTGGCAGAATCTGTTGATGGCGCAATTGCGGCATGGGCATATCGTGACGAGTTGCTCCAAACATACCCCGTACGCCCACCACTTCACTTTTTCAGGTGTGCTGTATGCATCCGAACAAACCCGTTCAGGGAGCCCCTGCATCGAGGATGCGTTGCGGAAAATCTTGGTAGCATGCTATGAGCATAGGCCGTTTGGTGCCGTTGACTTCAGCAGACGTTTGCTGTAGGGAAGATGCCGGAAACAGTGGGACAACTGAAAAACACACGCATTTGTCACAGCTTGCGTGAAGTGAAGCCAGGTCTGTCCTGCGTGTGTTGAGGGTGCAGCGGCCACAGGTTCTGCAAATCTCAAAAGCTGCTGCTCAACTGCTCGCAGCAGTGGCGGAAAACACGCCCACGGTCTCGGGTTTTGGATGCTCGCGGTGCTGACCTGAAGTCGACATCACAATGCTAAAACATGCAAGATGCAAGGTTCTGATATGCGCAAATGCCGTGGATTCACTCTGGCAGAAGGTGTTTTCTGCGGAGGAAATGCAAAACTGAGTTCATGACATGCTGAGCATGCTGCTTGCATGAGTGAATCTGTTTTTTTTCGTTGCAGCTTCACATGTTGACCGTATCAGATTCTGTGTAAGAAGTTGATTCTCCACGAATTTGGACCAAAGTGATATTGCAGCTTGCAAACTGCCAGGCACGTGGGTGCACCTTCCGGCCAAATCTCTCCAAGAGCGTCAAGAGGCAATGACTTCGTTCTTCATGGTTCTTTGGTAAGAAAGGGTGTCTGTAGTAGTCCAAAGGCACGAGAGGATCCCGCAAACACAAAGTTGCGGGGCAAAGTGCAAAGGGCTCCGAGGCAACAACCAGGGGCTTGCCGCAACGCTGGCAAGGAACAGTGAAAGGAAAGTGAACGTCAGCAAATGTAGGGGTAAGGGTCTGGCTGGACACTTTTGGCTGGAGAGAGGGACTTTTCGTTTGCACTTGTTTGTATTTTCGTCCCACACTTGCCGATATCGATGCCTCCTGAACTGTGCACAGGAAGGCCTTGTTGCCCTCCATATGATTACGATGAAGATGATGAAGACGATGATGCCGATAATGATTTTGATCATCATGTGGATTTCTTATGATTCCCTTTTTGGGGATTGATGTTTGAAGGATGAGCCGTTGCCAGCATGTTACGGATCAACCAGTTGAAAGGATGGGAGTGGAGCAGTCCATTCCATCTGGACTGCATTTGAGGCAATAGAGCAGCGAAGATGGACGGCAACGAACTCAATGAAGACAAGCAAATCCACAAGGAAATGGTTTGCAACCAGCCACGGGACACCTTATCAGCGTTTAACACGGGCCCAGAAACCGCAAAAGCACAAAGTCCAGCTCAGTTGGCCCCAGCTCCACCCATGCAAGCCAAAGAGGACACTGCGCGCTGATGAAAAAAAGAAGCCAAAATGATTAGCCACCGAGCATTCCGCCGGGTTTGCCGGCAGCTTACAGAACAAAAAGAAAGAATTATACGATGAATATGATGGAGATGAGAGAAAGTGCCGCAAGGGAAGGAGGGCGCAGAGGATGGAGAGAGAGCACTGTCCAGCCAGCGTTTTGATGCACGGATCCTGTGGCAATGCAAGAGATCATGTGCTTCTAGGGTGCTCGTTTGCTGCCAGTTACCACAAGACGCAAAAGTCGACACAGGCACCAGCTGTTGCTATGCCCTCGCAGTCTTGTGGGCCTTTTGCGGCAACCAACCCATGTTCTGCTGTGCGCAGTTGTGCATGTTACCCGCGCACGAAGCCCGTCTAAGGTTGCAATTGAGTTCCTTGCACAGGTGCCTCGAGGCTTCTATGAGACGCGCCAAAGAATTCGTGCTGCCTATGAGATAAGAGAGAAGGTGCTTCAACAACAGGAGGCTTTGTGTGGAGAGCCCGATGGATGAACACGCGTCTTTCTCTACATGCCCTGCCAGGACCGCATGGCGAAGATAGAGCAGACCGTTCCATACCAGGCACTAAGTCTAACAGCAGTTGATCCAAGAATTGGGCTCAGTGGAGTTTGCTCCCAAGCAGGGTGCTGCTTCTGCGCCTATGGTTCTGATCTGAGATACTTCATGTCAACGCTTCAGTGCAGATGCTGGCTCAGTTCATGTCTTGCAACATTTATCAATGCTGCTGCTGGTCTCAGTGACTATGCTGTGGCAGGGATCGGCTCCCATGCCAGACAAATCCGTCTTTGCCCCCCCATGCACCAGCCTCAAAATCTCATTTGAGGTCGGCAAAAGCTTGCAGCCTTCCGCAGGCTCCTCCGTCAGTGCCACGTGCACCAACTTGTCAATCTATGTAAACTTGATTGGCTGCAAGGGCCACCCATGCCAGGCAATTCTCCCAGCTTGTCTCCGGTGCCCGAGGCGGTCGCAGCTTGTCATGCAACTTGCCGTGCAGTCGCAGAGTGGTTTTTGGAACAAGCCTCGACTGCTGATTCTTGACAGTCCCCGACAAAGCTCGCTCCGCCAGCCAGGCCAAGTGCTGAGTATGAGAGCGCAGTCCCAATCCATACCAATCCTGAGCTATCCCGATGCAGGGATCACCAGAGGCAGCGATCTGCAGGCGCTTCCGTTGCGCCAGCAGGCAAGGTTCAATCTGCTCATCGGGAAGAGGTTTCCATGGGATTATTTTGCGGACGAGTGCAGGTGTGAGAATGGGTAGCCCAACTGTATCTCAGTTTCGTATAACAAAATGTGTTGTCCACATGGGGGCAGGAGGGCGCGCCTTCACTCCGCCTGTGCGCGGCGGCCAACCCACGGATGTTTCGGAGGAGCGTGCTCTACCATGTGCAGAACAGATACACTTTCCTGGTTGGTTGGGCAACATTCTGCAGGAGGGCATCAACACTGGAGCTCAAGGCAAGCGTCGCAGTCAGCTGAGGGCTGCCCAATCAACTCGTGCTCTGTTGCATCTTGCAGGCGTGGGAGACCATTCTGGCCCAGCTTCTGAAGATGCAGGCGATGCAGAAGTTTCTGTTCTTGTGGTTTCATGCGCCTTTAGAGCATGGCTTTGGCAGTGAGTTTTTTCAGGCAATGCCGAAGGCAATGCCAGCTTAGACGAGCCGGCCCAGGACCGTTGAGTCAGGCGATAACTGTTTTGAGCTCATGGCAAGGTTTGTCTGTATGTAGCGGATGCAGTGCACAGGAGGACGTTAAGTCAGAGACGCCGCCAATGCTTTACGCATCTGGATTGCACCTGTTTGCGAGCATCAAGGTTTTTTGTCACCAAATCTGGTCGCCGCGTGAGGTGGATGTGAATATTGCCCATGGACAGCCGCCAGAGAGAATAGTTCTGTATCAGGCTGAATCACTGCGTGCTTGGGACTACAAAATCCTCGTTGCTGGCACATATACAATTGCTGATAGCCTGGGCTGCGTGATATCACTTGGTAGAGTCACATCTTCTTGTTTCAGGGCCAGAATGTCAGTGAAGTGGCTGCTGAATTTGCGGCCAAGCACGTCCTGACTCCGGTGCCCTGCAGAAAATGCCAGAGCATGTTTGAGCATGCCAGCAGACACAATGGATGTTGGTGAAAGGTCCTGGCACAGAAGCTGCACACGCTTCTCCGAGAGGCTGATGTGCAATGCTGCATGCGCGCAATTGCTACATTTCTGAAGACGCTTGAGCTTTCCTAGTGATCTGGGCTTCTGTTGCCAAGTCAAAAATTCGTCGTCGCAGGTTGTGCTAAAGCAGGAGCTGCAGAATCAAGCAAGGTAGCTGGTCTGAGTCAGCATGTCTGACCCTGCCGGGATTTGATTTTGAAACCATGAGATCTTGCATTGCCAACAGCAATCGCGCATTGTCACTAAATCCGACTGCCGGCCATCCTTCAGTAGCGGTTTGATACGTCTGCCGTTCAAGAGTTATGCGCCTCTATCCAGAGCTACGTGCCTGCGCTTCTCACGCGTGGAACGAGCGGCTGCAAAAGCTGCCGCACCGTAGCTTTGAAGTATGTGGCGGTGTAGATGCAATGCCAGCTGAGTTGAGGCCGGCTATGCGTTGCGCCCCTTTGCCAATGCATCTGGTGCCAGTGTTTAAACACTGATGTTCGATGATCAGATTTCCTGGATCCATCCCCCCTGCTTCCCATAAAGAGCTACTTAGACACTCCTGCAGAGAGTCCTGCGGCGGCGTACTTTCTGATCATTTGCGGAGGTGTAGATATTCTCCAGCAGCAATGACGTTGGCGCTTGTTGTCAAAGTTTGTGTGACATTCTGAGACGCGGAGTATTTGTACTGAACACTGAATAGACCAGCTGGTACAACATGCGACAACTGTGCGCTTGATTGTTGGAATGTCCACAGCCCAGGCGAAAGACGAAAAACAAATAGATTGCTAAAGAATGATGTGCAGTTGCTGGCGGATTTACGCCAATTCTATGATGCCAGGGAACAGTGTAACAGAGCTGCAACATAGTCAGGTTTCTGTATCCGAATGTCTATTGCAGTCCCAAGCAGATTTCGTGATTCGTCCCGCAGATAGTAGTAACACTGCTCTGCCGATGGCTGTGTGGAACTCAGTGAGAAATCTTGCATGCTGCTGTCCACAGACAGCTTTGCCGCTCATCGCCTCAGGTTGTCAGCAAGATGGCGCGAGGCAGACGTGCCCCAGTGGCGATGGCAGGCCATTCGGGACTAGAGTTGGACGTCGAATAGTCTTGCCTAGGGCGTGGGTGTGCATTTGGATATTTGAATTTGAGCTCTGTATCGCGCTGTCAGCCAACACGAAGATAATTAACGCTGGATTTCTGTGAGTCAAGTTTACAAGGTGCAGCTGCCGCACTTCTCGCCGCGCCCAGCTTTGTTGCTCCTGGACACGGGGCTCCGCGACAGTTGGAGGTGCTTTTCTTTGTTTTCTGCGTCGCTGCCATTGCTGCGTGACGCAGCGCGTGCCTTCTGTTACTGTAGGTCGAGGCCTCCAGCCGTGCTGTCGCCGAGAACACCGGAGGTTCAGGAGCCTCAGCAGCCTCAGGGGCTGGAGCCGTTGCGGGAACTGCTGCCGCGGCTGCCGGCGCAATGGCTGCCTCGGGCTCTCGCCTTTTGGTTGCAGAAGCGAGAAATGTGTCAGCTTTAGTTTGGTGTGCTCTGCGCAGAGGTCGCAAGCCATTGTCCAGAAACAAGACCGGCAAAGCTGCGCTTCCTGGCAAAAACATGGAGCACCACCAGCAGGACCGGGCAATGTCAAAGGTTTGGCCAAGCCTTTTCTGACTGTTGCCAGGTTGTAGGCTTTGCCAGGCTCTCCTGGGGAAGGAATTCCTTAATGGTTTGCAAGTCCGCGGGTGTCCCTGGGAGAGCCCGTCACTCCTAAGATCTGTCCTTTTATGGGCTTCGGGGATGTCCCAAGTTGCGATGTATCAAGAGCGAAGCACGTGTTCGCTGAATTTCAAGGAATGCTGCAAGTGCAACGAGGAAACAAATGGCTTCGCCACAT